CCAGAATATTCTGTGAAATAAGAATCAAGTCAGATGCATCAAGTATCCCTTACAAACAAATTTTTAAACCATCACCTTGCTTTGTATTTTCACAGCAATGCCCTGCATTGTAATTAGTGAAAACACAGGTAGTGAATCACCCCTATATCCAAGTTCTTCAGAAGGAACCTCAGTCAGCAGCTGAGAGTGGGTTTAAGAGTTTGCAGCTTTGCTTGGACAACTGCTTCTTTCAGGCCTCCTTGATAAGTATCAGTAGTTTTTCCCTCTATTTCCTTCCCCAGTCCTCCCTGACTAGGCCCCTTTCTTTTCCTGCACTTGTAATCAAATTCACAGTTAAACTTATTTTAGGCCAAGTTCATATTAATTCAACCCTTGGTGAATCAGACTAGACAGACCTATTTGATACAACAACCACAACCACAACTAAAAAGAAAATGTTTATATCCTTAAAGTGACTTGAGAAACTTAAAAAACTATGAGATAGTTTGTCACACATTTTTTTTGAAAATGAATTAACACAAACAGGTTTTGCTGATACTTTTAGTTATTATTTAATCAGCTCACATTCGTCTCTTGTATTCTTAACCATGTATGTAAAATGCTCCTGTACTCACAATCGTAATTGATGCCACTGCACTAAGACTGACTTTCCTCTTCACTCACTCTGCTCCTGGTTGTCAGCTTGGTTTTGTGGTTTCACCCACCTGCTCTGATGTGTGACGCTTTTCTAAAGCCCCAAGTCTTGGAGCATGACATCTCATGGGAATCTCAGCTTTTCTTTCAAAAACGAAAAAAACGGGAAAATATTACTTTAATAGACTTCAAACCCAAAAGGAACTGAAAAATACTACAGGATTAATGGCTAATAAACCAAACACACAAGTTCAGGAAGCTTGAGCCATGACTGGAAGACATTGCTTAGGACTAGTGATGCAGCTCAGCTCTTTAGGTGGTTTTGGTTAGTCTCCCAGAATGAGAGGCTTAATCAAGTATTAAATGAGCAGCTATGAGAAACGCTTTGAAAAGCAACCTAAAAAAAAAAAGGGGGGAGGGGGAAATCTAGGCTCCACATCCTTTGCATTCTAAGTTTACAAGAATAACACTTTCTTCCATTTCTTTTCCTCGCTGACAGTCCTACAAGCTAAAATTTCTTATGTGCAACAACAGTAATGCAGGTTCTCAGAACTAACCATTCAGCAACAGCTCTGCAAGCCTTTTGGTCATTCATGACTTTGCTGAGGGCTGCAATAATTCTTTTCCCCCACCTCCCCCACTTAACACTAGAAAAGCAAAATGCCGTTTAGAGTAAGTAATGGTAAGACATCTTCATTGTCCCTACAAGCCAGAATTCCAGCTCATTGTAGGAGGACCACCCTATATAATCACAACTATTCCATATGTCTTTAGTAGACATTACATTACTAACTTGCTTTCTTTCATATTTCATTACTCTATCTTCTATTGTATATTCCAGCTAAATATCTGTGCACTTGGCCCCTAAGAAATTTATGGCAAAATAACTTCAAGCCATAACTAATTTAATGTGTCAATAAATATGCTTCTTTAACACAGCAATCATCCTTCTCAACACATGACTGAATACAAAAGGGAATGCACACCAGATTAATTCCTTTGTTCTAATTTATAACTGCCACAGCTTTACACTTGTCTAATCTGAGAAACACTTCCAAACAGAGTTCTGCAAATGGCTCCCTTTATCATCACCTTGGATGTTAAAATTATTTCCTGACCCAGCACATCTGACCCTATGGACTTGGGGTACACGACAGGGCCATGCTGAGTGTCATCTCCAGCTGCCACCCAGAAATGTGGCGCCTCTCTTCTTCATGACCCCATGCTCCCAAAGACCAAGAACTGCAGCTCTGGCTTGGCTGGGGAGGGACTTAGCAGTGCCCAGCAATTGCTGGAGTGGCAATCGCACATGAGGAAAACAAACAAATAAAAATCAATAGTTGAATGAGTCTTTGGCATACTTTAATAACTGTGCTAAATATCTGCTAAAATATTGTTATTTGGGACTTCTTAAAAAAATTAAGAGATAAAACAAAAGAATTCCCATCCATTCTGACATCACATATCTTGTAGTATCCTTGCCTAAAAATTGTTTTCGTTTAGGATTGGTCTTTTTAGGCACAATTTTAGAAATAACACCTCTGTACAGAAACTTTTTTTAAAATATCAGTATCTCAAGCTTCTCTGTGGATCTACTTTCCAAAATTACTAATAGCAGACTTTGTAACTGTGTTCTTGATTGCCCTGTCTTTGGATTGATCTCAAAAGTACTCACCAGAGCCTACAAGTTGTATGGGTGATGCTCTCACAGAGCAGAGTAAAATGACAGAAGCCACTATTGAAATTACAGTTCTGTTAGTGTTCTATGGTAAAAGAAACAGTCGGATCTGCACTGCAGAGCTTGCATTCAAAGATAATAAAGCACTACTTCAAGTATGAGCTTTTGTCAGTTGCTACAGCCCTATCTGGTTAGCAGGACTTAAAAAGCCTTTCCTGAATTGGAGCTAAGAAATCACAAGCGTAAGAAAGGCAGAGGAGGACAGGTATACCACAACTCAATCCAAACAAACGCACAGGAGAAAGCTTTCAGACACGCACACAGCTCCAAATGACTTCACAAAAATACTATTACTGGTGCCACATGAAAACTGCATCAGTGAAAAGTTCAACCATACCAACCTACACAGATAACAGTAGCAAAAAGTACCACAAACTCACAACTTGCCTAAATTACTTATTAATAAAGTAAGCATATATTTTCACTTCCCTTCTAGCTTTAACTTTTTAGATCATAATAAAAGTTCAAAATAAAATAAGAAAAAACAAAACCACGAAGAAATCCAAAACGCAATCCCATAAAAAAACCCTACCTAAACAAAAACACCACCCCACTTCCACACAGGAAGGTACTAAGAGCTCAGTCAGTTAGCTCCAAACCTCTCCTACTGGGCACAGTTTATACCACAGCCTTGCAATCAACCACTTTAGGCTCCAAGTATGCCTTTAGTCAGTTAACTTCTACTCTCACATCCTGCCCAAGGAAGAACACCACATTAGCAGATGTCCTGAAATCATGAGAGCTGCCAACAGGCTTGAAGATTTCCACTTAAAAATCAAGTCAACACTGTCTTTGCAAGACGTTATTAAGACTATAAATTACAAACCAATTTGACTACATACCCTTTTTTTCTTCTTCTTTCTCTTTTTTGGAAAATAGTAACAAGAAAAATGACACATTAACACCTAGTGTTAGAATCATAACATGCATTTGCAGAGATGAACTCAGTTGTACGGCCACAAGTCGACATTGTTTACCTAGAGCTCTCTAGGTCTGTAAGAAACAGCCAGCATTCCCATAAATGATCACATGTAAAACTGAACCTTTTATGAGTGTTTTGCACCATTTCAAGTTTGTCAATTGAGAACACAGAGGAGAAGTAGAGTCAAAATTTAATAGCTAAGCATCTGCATGGACCCAAGAACAATACCAATATTCATTAAGAGGTTGAGCTCAAACTGCCTTCTCATATTTTCAAGACAAGCACTCTATTAATACCTTTTCTAACCTTAGTATAACTCGTATGTTTTCATCCCAAAGCACCCACACACACTGATGAAGGGTTCCCAAATTATGACAACTACGTGCCACACACACACCAGGAAAAAAAAAAGAACCTAAAAATAAATCTAAAGGAAACTATATATTGTGCCTTGCCAACCACAGTGAACTGCACAGCCAGGAGTTGCTATAGCCAGATTTAGCTCCATACAAGCTAACAGGATTCCTTTATAAATTTAGCTAGAGGCATGGGCAACAAACGCTTATGGAAATTTGAACCGCAACTCTCCAGCAGCAAAGATTGTTCCCTCCAAGAATGAAACAGTAGTAAAAGATGACTATTAGTAGGCTCTTATTACACAGCTTTCAAAACACCTATAAGTCATCAGGTTCTCTAGGCAGCAATATTAAATTGCTGAAGTACCAGCAAATGTTAAAAGAAAAAAGCAAGGCCACAGCTCTTTCTGAGTCTGCCAATTAATAATCAAAGAAGGAAAAAAAGCCAAATAAAGAGAGACTATATTGGAAGCCAGTCGTACAGCTAAGTTTGTTTCAGGTCCTCTTCCCTCATACTTGGAACAGTGTGGCTTGACAAGAAAGAAGGAAAAGAGTGCCTCATGTCTGTTAACGCTAACCGAAGGATGAGCTCTGAAGGGCTTCCCCACAACAAGAGGCACAAGGACTGCGACGCGCAAAGCAGGGAAAAGACTAAGGCAGGAAATGGGGAAACGCATCCAGGGTCCCACAGGACAGCAGGACACTGCTCTGCCCCACTGCCTCTCCCTCTTCTTCCTTCCCCAGAATAAACGTTCCTGACACTTAACAATAGATCAATCTTATTTTTAACCCTCTTTAGTCCATACTTATCACAATCCCTTAACGTTACTTCAAAACATCAAAGACTGAGGGTCTTTTTTGGAACGGATTTTTCCAGAAGACACAGGTTTGCTAAAGTATCCGCACGAAACCTGAGGCCCCACGCAATTTTGTAATATTTTAAAGGAAACACCTCCTCCCTCGCCAAAGAGACTCAACGAAACCCTCAGACTCCCTGAGCGAGGTGCAGCGCGCCTAGGCTGCCCCCGGGCTCCGGCGAGCACAAAGCGCACCAGAGGGCAAGGCGATCCGCAGCCGGCGGCCGCCGCAGCCCCGATGGCAGCCCCGCGCACGGTGCCTCCTGCTCCCGCCGGCGGGGCGAGGAGCGGCGGGGCTCGCACAAAGGCTGCGGTCACGAAACGCCCTCTCCCATGCGGACCCCCACCCCGCTCCTTCCCGGTGGTTTCGGGGGCTGCAGGGCACCGGGTAACTCACCTCCCGCCCGCCCCGATCCGATCCCATCCCATCCGGGAGCCGCCTCCCCCTCCCCGGCGCGTCCCACCGAACAAAGCTTTCCCCCGGCAGCGCTCACCGACAGCCTCTCGCCGTCTTCTGCCCTCGCACACCGCTCCTCCTCCCGCTTAGTATCCAGGCGCAGGGGTGCGAGCCGGGAGTGCGGGAGGTTACCCCGCCCCGTAACTCCTCCGGCGGCGCTGGCCGGGTGTCCCCCTCACAGCGCCCGCGGCCGCGCCCCGGCTCCCTCCGTGCGCTCGTGCTCTGGGCAGCGGCTTAATCTCCAAACTTCCTCCTCCTCCTGCCGGCCAGGCAGAGTCGTCTGTGAAATTCCCCTCCTCCATGCAGCTCCCGCAGCCCAGCCGCTGCCTCAGCCCCTCCCCGGGGAGGCTCCGCTCGGCCCGGCTCGGCTCCGGGCTGCAGCTGACTCCGCTCCCCTTCTTCTTCTCTTCCCTTCTCCGTCCCCCATTCTCCGAGGCTGGGAAAGGGGGGTGGGAGAGAGATTAACCACTCGGACTTGTCTCTGGAACCGAGCCAAAGAGAGCAGTCGGATTACAGCCCCGGGAAGAAGAGGGGAGGAAAAGGGAAAGAGGAAAAAAAAAATCCGCTACTGTTTTCACGCAGGGACAAGCGCTCGGCTCTTCTGCCTTTCCCCGTGTGTCTGCCCGGCCGCGAGCCCCATGCCCGACTGGCCGAGCTGCCCACTGGCTCCTCTCCGCCACCACGGTTGAAATTCAATGATCGAAGGCACGACATTGGTATTAAATGGAGAGAGCTTCTGTAAATGAATTGCCAAAATGCCACAGAGGCAAGTCCACCCTGAAATACAGACCCGTAAAAAGCAAATTCAAAGAAGTTGGAGAGACTACACCTGCCTCCTGGCAGTCTGGTGGGCCATTTTTTTTAAGGTGATTTTAAAGTTACGCAACATTAAAAAAAAAAAAAATAAAAAGACACACACACAATTCTTCATACATGTTCAGTGGTCCTCATTCATCTGGGCCGTAACAAAATCCTTGGTTTCCTGTAAAAACTTTTTCCATATTTCACATTCAGTAAAGCTGTGTTGCTTTTGTTGTATAACATAGTTTCTCCCTCTACTTATGCTGATATACGGCATGTGGAATGTGAGGAAATTTGGGAGGTTAGAACAACTCATACTTTTCAGAAGTCAAAACAAGTAATTACAGCAGTAATTCAGAAAAAGAGGAAGTTTCAGGGTTTGCCCTCATCTTACCTGTTCTCACTGGAATCCTAGGGAAAAAAACAAAACAAAACCAACAGCTAAAAAAAAAAAACCAACACCACAACAAAACAAACAACAACAAAAACCAAAACCCAAACCAAACAACAGCAAAACAACAAAAAAACCCCCACAAAATGAAAAAACAACAAAACTCGGTCAGGGTCTGTTTCTCTGTCATTGATTCAGAAGCCCAACATGCACACTGAACATGCTTCAGACCAGTGATGAATTTTAAAAGATTACCACATTTATGAATTCATTTTGGCCATGTTTCAAACCAAAGGTTTGTGTTTGACAACTAGGACTATACTAACTTCTCAACTAAAGGAAAAAATACCTCAAGTATTTTAATGACAGCCATTCTGCACATAACATTTATTCATATTGCAGAATTAGAGCATAGTTATCATAGCATCATAGAATATCCTGAGTTGGGAGGGACCCTCAAGGATCATCAAGTCCAACTCCTGGCCCTTCACAGGACAGCCCCAGGAGTCACACCACCTGCCTGAGAGCATTGCCCAAACACTCTTTAAAACTCCGTCAGTCTTGGTGCTGTGACCACTTCCCTGGGGAGAGTTCCACTGCCCAACCATCAACCTCTGGGTGGAAAACCTTACCACCAAGGGGTAAATCTTGCTCCCTCGCTACTGCCTTGTAAGCCGTCACTGATCTATCAGGCAGGTAAGGCAGATCATGGGAGGCTGGACTCCACAGTTAATATACTGGAATGGTGCTCTACGAAGTCACTTGACAAAGGACAAAGGGGGAAAGGTCAAGTAATTTCAGATGTGACTAGTAGCTCCATTAAACCCAGCCCACTGGTCATGACCTCCTGCACTGCATAGCTACTCCATGTCTGAATTCAGCATCCAGCTGAGCACACATCCTTGCCTCAGCACTCTACACTCTGTCCTTGTGCTGGAGCAAAAGGTTAGCCTTCATTTGCAAGCCAATTAGAAAAAAAAAGAAAACAGGCAGCAAAGCTGCTCTGATAAAACTACTGGGAGAGGAGCATTTGTAACTCTTTCCCATTTGGGGGACCAGGGAATGTTTTTCCTTTATTAATAGATTTTTCAAAGATGGTAATAAAACTAACTACTGGTTGATACATTTAACTTGGTCCACATTAAAACAAATGAAAATACACACATCCCCAAATGGGAAATACAGCAAAACCCCCAAACCACGGAGTATTTCAAGTTCCTTTAAGAAACTGTACAGTTTTTGCAAATATGTTTTAAAGGCCTTACATTATCTGTTCCATATGGAGTTTGTTTTTCCTCAGTGCTATGACTAACAAGAAAAATCTAGAGGAGAAGTCTCTTCCTCTCTCTTCATCCTTCTATCTCCATTTCCCCAAAGGACTGATCATGAGCCTGTCTGGTTGCTTGTTTGTGCTAAAAATAGCATTACAGTGGACTGACCAAATACCTTCAGTTTAAAGTCGACTGACTGACAATGTACAATCATTGTTGCAGAAAAAATGAGAGTGGTTTAAAGGTCAAACTTTACAACACTGTAACACAAAACAGTGTATCTGAAGAACCACCCATTTTTTGGAGACATTAGATACATGGACACATTGTGGGAACTCCTATCTTTGAAGGTAATCCAGGTGACTATTGCTGAAAGGGCGGGAACAACAAGGAGGCTGCAGGCAGGCAAACCTTCCTCCTGGGTATTGCTTGTGCGCCAGAAGGTCAGTGGCACAGGCGAGAGCACAAATTGTTGTGAGGGTTCCCAAACAGCTTGCTCAGTCACCCTCAGCAGCACTCTTGTGCACAGGCAAGAAGCAAGCCTCTGCTCCCCCTGCATTCACATCTTTTTCTACTCACTCACACAGAATCTCTCATACTCTCACACAGCAGGATCCTTGCCTTCCCCCATACATAAGGTGGGATACAGCCTCATCCACCAGCTCTTCACCTCTGTCCCTCCTGCTGCCCTTGCAGTCAGAAACTTGCACTACTGAGCTGGTGTCTTTCACAACAGTGGTCAGGACTTGCCTTCATGTATCACTTGGAAGTGATTTGCTCACTATAGTTGGGAATCTATAACTTAACATTATTTCCCCTTTGGGGATTTTCTTTCCTCCTAGAAAGTCTGACTATATCAACTAGTCTACCAATAGGTTTGTACACATACATATGTTCTCAAACATCACAGCATTTCCGTACATCACCAGGTCTGGATTGCACCCATTACTGTGTTCATGTTTTTCTCATTTTGTCTGCGACTTAGCAAAACGGTAACCAATGCCTTTAGAGGTACAGAAATCTCTGTCACTTCAGTTTTGCTGACTGATGATGAATTTCAGCATTCACTTGAAGAGAAGCACAAGTTATCTGTTCCAAGTTAGAATCTGGAGAAAAAAAACCCTGTCCCTACAATAGCAGAAAAATGCTGCTTGTAAAGATACCCTCCACACACTTAAAAGACAAAAAGGCACATCCCAGACTTGATTGTTTGGTGAGGGGGAGGATCTGTAGAAGCAAGCAGCTGCATCCATACCATGCACAAGGGTGTAAGGCAAGGAAGATGGATATAATCTTAACCTGGGCACTCTTCAGTCAGCTTAAATAATAATAATAATAATAATAATAATAATAATAATAATAATAATAATAA